ATATCAGACGGAGCAGCTCTGCAGGGCACCACTGTGTTATGGATAAGTGAAGAAAAGGGTTATTTTGTGGTTAATTGGATTGAAGTTGGACAGACCGTAGAGCATCAGTGGTGGAAAGTAACTAAGTACAATTACGCTTGTATTGTTTTTGACATCATTGTACTTCACTGTACTGTCTCCACTACACTTTCAAACGCAGTTTTGTACTTTTTAACTTGTTATTACTTTTATTCAACACTCATAGTTTCTACCTCCCCACCCTGGTGACAACAGGACTTCTCTGCAGCTTGATGGCCTTTAAGCAAATATTTTCCTCTGGGTTTGGAGGAGACGAGGATCCACATGGGACTTGATCTCGTGATGAGAGGAGGGTGTGAAGTCCCAGTCAGTGTATGGTGACAGGAAGTGGATTTAAGCGTGTATATGAACATGATGATGGGTGGTGTCCTGCGTCTGTTAAACAGAGACAGCTGCGGGATGTTTTCCCTGCCACACCCTCACTGTGAAAAAGAAAACAGTGACGTGAGGTCATTACTACAACTAATGTAAACCAGCTGTGAGGCCTGATGGGCTGCATGGCCTTTAAATGCAGAGTGAATGTGGTTAAAGGGGCCATATTCTGCTGATGTCCAGGTGTATCTGACGACACCCAATTAATTCTGTCCTTTCCCCGCTCAGAGACCCAGGTCGTCGCACGTATCTCTGCTTGTCTAGCTGACATCTCTCAGTGGATGTCTGCTCATCACCTCAAGATCAACCTTGACAAGACTGAACTGCTCTTCCTCCCGGGAAAAGATTGTCCAACTCTTGACCTGACAATCAACATCGGCACCTCAGTTGTTTCCCCGACTCAGACTGCAAGGAATCTGGGTGTGACCCTAGATAACAACCTGTCCTTCACTGCAAACATCGCTGCTACAACCCGTTGCTGCAGATACACGCTTTACAACATCAGGAGGATACGTCCCCAGCTGACCCAGAAAGCGACTCAGGTTCTGGTCCAGGCTCTCGTCATCTCACGCCTAGACTACTGCAACTCCCTCCTGGCTGGTCTACCTGCATGTGCCATCCGACCTCTGCAGCTCATCCAGAATGCAGCTGCTCGTCTGGTCTTCAACCTTCCTAAATTTTCCCACACCACTCCGTTCCTCCGCTCCCTTCACTAGCTTCCGGTAACTGCTAGAATCCACTTCAAGACACTGGTACTTGCGTACCATGCTGCGAATGGATCTGGCCCTTCCTATATCCAGGACATGGTTAAACCGTACACCCCAGCGCGTGCACTCCGCTCTGCATCAACCAAACGGCTCTCTGCGCCCTCGCTGCGAGGGGGACCCAAGTTCCCATCAGCAAAAACACGTGGGTTTGCTATCCTGGCTCCAGGATGGTGGAATGAGCTCCCCATTGACATCAGGACAGCAGATAGCTTACACACCTTCCGGCGTAGACTGAAAACTCATCTCTTTCGACTCCACTTCGAGCGATAGAACTATTAACAAAGCACTTATATACTAATAAAGGGCTGGCTTATCTAAAGCCAGTTGAGTAGCACTTGAAATGTTTTAGCTCTATGAAGCCTGATGTACTTATATGATTCTGTTTTCTTCAAGGTTGTGTCTTCCTGGTCGAATGCACTTATTGTAAGTCGCTTTGGATAAAAGCGTCAGCTAAATTTAATGTAATGTAATGTATATCAGTATGTAGTGTCTCTACTTTAAAGAGTCCTCTCCTGCTGATGTTCAGGTGTATATCAGTATGTAGTGTCTCTACTTTAAAGAGTCCTCTCCTGCTGATGTTCAGGTGTATATCAGTATGTAGTGTCTCTACTTTAAAGAGTCCTCTCCTGCTGATGTTCAGGTGTATATCAGTATGTAGTGTCTCTACTTTAAAGAGTCCTCTCCTGCTGATGTTCAGGTGTATATCAGTATGTAGTGTCTCTGTGACATGTCTCCATGCTTTAATGTTCAAAAAGCTTCTCTGATTGGTTAGCTGGCCGGCTCTGTTGTGATTGGTCAACCGCTTGGAGATGTCCCGCCCCTTAGCCTATCACCTACAATGTGTTGGAGTGCCAGCTAATAGAGTGGTGCAGTGACGAGTCCTAAAACCCGGAAGTGAGTCAGCATTTCTCCACTTCCTGTTCCCTCGTCTCAGAGCCAATGAGATGTTTGAACTAGCTTTAGGAAACTATCTGAACTAAGGTCTGTGGTTGAGACACATTGAAGAGACGGATCACGTTTTGTTCTAGGACATTAAATCCATCAGCAGTGACCCCACTGGTGATTTCTGAAGAGTTGTCTGAAAAACGATGGTTGTTACCAAGTGGCTGAATAGGACTACAGAAGTCGCGGAGGTCGTTGTACGTCATTACGCCGAACACGTAAACACTCCTCTAAGTTAGTTTCTGTTCTGCTTGAGAGCAAGTCCCTGCCTCCTGCAGACTGTTCAAACAAACGCTTCAACTCGTTCCATTTAGAATCTGTGTGTTTGAATATGGATCTGAAGTTGGCGTGACGTTGAAGTCGTGCTGCTGGACTCGGCTGTAGTTCCTTTATAGCAGGGGTACTCAAATACAAATCTTAAAGGTCCAAAATAAATGTTTCAATAAGACAAAGGTCCGTTTATCACGGTCATTCAAACTTTTAAACAATTGCAACAAGATTCTTAACACGAGGTTGCAAAAACAAAAATAATCTGTATGCAGCAGTTTTCATTGTTATTGTTTCTGTGCTTGACCCCTCAGAGTCGCAGTGTAAGAGCTGCACAGTTATGAATAAAGGCAGCTGCACCCTCTTTCATTCAGCATTCCCATTATTGCTTTATAAATGTATTCCCCCCTTGTGTGTCCACTGAGGTTCGTCAGGCCCAACACATCTTCAACAAACTCCCCCTTTGCCTCATCATAAAAACTCACAAACACCAGCAACTGAGCATTGTCAGTGGTGTCAGTGGACTCACCCACAGCTAAGGAAATGCACTGTGCATTTTTTATTCCATCACAAAGCTGATGAATCAAATCACCAGCCAGTATGTATGTTCTTCTGGTTGCTGTGGAATCTGAGAGGGGGATTTGCTTGATTTGACCTGTTATTTCCTCTTTTTGTTTGCCTTCAACATGGTCTCCATCACTTCAGTCATGCATTCTTTTATACTGCAGTTATTATCCAGTGGAAAGTCCTTACCTACTGGCCTAGTTCAATCAAAGTGGTTACTTTTTTTTGGCTGGGCAGTGTAGTTTTAAACACCGTCTTATTTGACTTTCTCAGGACTTAAAACAGTTTTTTGGGGGCAGACCCCCTCAAAGAAAACAATATATTTACACACGTAAGGTCACGTGAGCAGAGCATCAAGTTGACATGTCTATTACAGCTGAATGCGGCGATTACCATCTTGTTCAGCGAAACGCCTCACAAACGTATTAAGATCAACAGCTTTAGTGCGTTTTGATTCAATGCTGAGTACAGCCAAACTGACAGTCTCTTCTCTGTCATTGTAGACCGCAAATACCTCATTCCTTCAGTGCTTGGGTCCGAATGCTTCTCGTTTTGCGCCGTCCAGTTAAAAATGAAATCGCCGCCAAATCGTATGTCCACGCTCGCGCCAGGACCGGGGGAGGGGTTACATGACGTGCATCTTGTGCTGCATTCACTTGCACTCGGACATTAGAGACTTTCTCTCATAAATATCCGATGAGCCACAACTTTTCTTTCAAAACAAAGCTGCCAACTGGGGTGGCAGCTGGGGTGGCAAGGCCTATTTTTAGGGTGTCAGTTGCCACCCCGGTAGGTGAAACTAGGCTACTAGCTACAGTACAGATGGAACTAGATGAGCTGTTAACTCTCGCTCTGAATTTTTTTTGTTTTTGTTTTAATTCTCACTCTGACTTAGACAGGTTGAAAGAGACACACACATTTTTCCCACCCGCATTCCGCGAAGACCCGCCCTACTGTGCCTCTGATTCGCAGATTGTTTGGGGGGAAAAAACGCTGACTGGATGCTGAATGTGATTGGACCAAAGCGTTGACACACACAGGTGGAACACAGTGGAACAGTCAGACATGCAGAGCGCTGTTTGCAGTGGACATAGCGGAGAATTTTGACTCGTTGCGAATGCGTTGTGGCGATGTCTCACATATAATACAGAGAGATAATACATATGAAAAGTATAATTTGCTCAGAGTCCGGAGACAGTGGTGGTTCGGTCCGGATCCGGACCGGAGTCCGTAGTTTGAGGATGCCTGCTTTATAGCATCACGTTAGCATTTTGCTTCTGGCCATTAGATTTATGATTCAAAAAGTAGGGTAGACATGTGGAGATTATCCGGCTGAACAAAATGTGCATTTATCAAACAGGTTCGTTTTCCACAGACCTTATTTCGAGCTATTTTCCAAAATCCTCTGGAGAAATCCCGTTGCTTTTTTGTCGAGGGAACCAGCAGCTTCCTTCAGGGTAAATACGTCCTCCCTGCACCGCTCGATGTCACTATGCTTTGTAAGTAAACAAAGGACATGCACAAAAACCTAGATAACCCACTGCAGGAAAGGAACAACCCAAAAAGCTGAATTGGGCCCCTTAATGGATTTGAATACTTTTTCCTGGGTGTCATTATGTGCTGACATCAAGAAAATGTAAATGTTTTCAAAACATAATAAACTCAGACAAATACATTTGAGAAAAAATATTCAATATATGTTCCTCTGATCTAAACTAATTCAAATTGTTTGCTTTTTTTAAACTCTAAAATTGACATTTTCCGTAAATGAGGTCATAGTACAGGTAATCTTTTTCTAATGTATTTATAAGAAAAAATCTCCATTATAAGTCAAAGTACTGCATTGAGTATAGTACTTAACAAACTAAGGTACAACGAATCAAGTTTGATTACAAGGTGTAACACATATTTGGGTGACGTTTTATACTTTTTGCCTCATAGACTGTCAAACAGGGACAAAAGTTGCACCGTTTACACAAAGAAATGAGTCTGAAAACACGACGATTCATAAAAAGTTATTCATCTTTTATTTGTTCATGTTTATTCCAATTTAAAACTACAGGCTGCTAGTAAAAAAAGTCATATTGGAATGTTAGCAATGAAAATGTTAAAACATTTGAATTTATTCATAAGAACACTTTTCTGCAGTTGGATCAAGTTTTATACAAATTTGCCAAATATTTTAATACACAACATAAGACATGACATCAGAAACTTTGGCACCTTAAAAGTGTTGGTACACAACTTAAAGACAGAAACTATACACACTGCTCAATCGAGTACAAACAGTAAAAAGAGAGTATACAAAATATTACAAGGCTTATTTGAATACTGGACTGCGATTGGTCAATTTGAACATTCCGTTGCTGCTTGGAAAAACACACCGTTGCTAAGGAGAACAGACCGTTGCTAAGGAGGCTCAAGGGACTGTGTGGAGTCATATTAATCCACAGAAAGTAGTCCGGTCAGCTGTGGACAACAAATATGAGTTTCCTCCATCAGAAAACACGTGGAATAGTTTTTAAATATTTTTTTTTCTTCTTGGCAGACGCGATATGATCAATTTAAATCAATAAAAACATTTTTTAATCAATATTGTGAGTCAAGTCGTTGCTGTATTTATCACGTGGACGTGTAATAAGCGGGATAATGTGCAGCGAGGCATCATTAATGAAGAAAGACAAGGAGGTCACGACTTAAAGAACTTATTTTACAAAGTTTACACTGGCTAATGTCACACTCATTCGTTCACTCGATTCCAACACCACACGCATAATACAGTAAAGCAAGGGAAGCCTCTATGCATGTACGGGTGAACATGCGCGGTAACACACACACATGCAGGATTTAAAGCACACGTTCACACACTTTCAATAACTCCATATGGATTTCTCTCACAGATTTCAAGGCAGCGTGGTTTGTCTCCTCTCCGTCTGTCATGGCTGCAGAGGAGCAGGTGCTTACTGTGGAGGAGGGTTTGTGGGTAAATGTGAGGACATGCAGAGAGTCTGCAGGGCGGATTATGAGACAGAAAAACATGCAGACTTAAGAGTCGCTGAGGCTTTTGAGGGTGAGTTTTTTGGCATTTTGTGGTCATTTTGAGACTTTTTGTACATGTTTTGTGTTTCTTTGCAGTCGTATTGTGACTTTTTGTGTTAATTTTGAATCTTGGTAGTCATTTTGCATCCCTTGGAATTTTTTTTTGTTGCTATTTGCATTTGTTTTCTGTCTCTGTATTTACGTTTATTTTCACTAATTGGTCTCATAATTGGCATTGTCAGGATTTGAGCGTCATTTTGTAATTTATATATTTTTTAATATAAAATGTGGATAAATGTTGTTCTTGTTGTTATTTTTTTTTTTCATTTGATGTCTCTTGATGTTTAAAGGTCTTTTTCTACACGTGTTGTGTTTCTTCGCAGTGATATTGTGTCTCTTTGTAGTCATGTTGCATCTCTTGGTAATTGTTTTGTTGCTATTTGTCGTTTTTTTGACACTTTTTCCTTTTTGTTTATTGTAAATTTGACTTGGCTTGAATCCAAAGTGACCTACAGTAATCCTTTTCACTAATTGGTCTCTTTATATAAAGCATCTCTAGTAGTCAGGATGTGTCTGTTTGAACCTCATACTTTCTTTTGTCTATTCTCTTCATATTTTGGTTGTTTTGTTCCTCTGAGTGTTGTTTTATTCATTTTGTGTCTCTTGTTGTTATTTTGTCCCCACGTTGGTTTTCTCCCTTTTTAAAGTCTCTTTGTGTGTCTCTGCAGATGTTTCTCCTCTCTCTTTATTTGCTTTGTGGCTCTTTTCAGTATTTCGGCCCCTGTAGTCCTTCAGTAATCCATGCATGCTGCAGGGTGTTGACATGCAGTCATCATGGGAACAGAGTGATGCTTCTCTCCACACCCACAATCCTCTGCTGCCTGCGTCAACAACCAGGGACTCAGCCTTCGTCATCGTCTTCATCATCATCATCATCATCATCATCAGACTTCCTCCCCTGATGTTTACGAGGCTCACAGATGGAGGGGTGTGGGTTCTGATGTAGGAAATAGTCCATGATGTCCACGTTTGCTGTGGCGTGGTCAGAAAGTGAGTGTGTGTGTGTGTGTGTGTGTGTGTGTGTGTGTGTGTGTGTGTGTGTGTGTGTGTGTGTGTGTGTGTGTGTGTGTGTGTTGTTGTTTCACAGCTCGGTGTCTGCAGTCAGACAAAATATTACCCGGCTTAGGTGAATACTGGACTGCGATTGGTCAATTTCAACATTCCGTTGTTGTCTGGAAAAACAGACCGTTGCTAAGGTTAGTTTATTTGTAATAGCACTTTTTAATGGTAATTCAAAGTGCTAAGGAACACAGACCGTTGCTAAGGAGAACAGACCGTTGATAAGGAGGCTCAAGGGGCTGTGTGCAATTATATCAATCCACAGAAAGTAGTCCGGTCAGCTGTGGACTGCAACTATGAGTTTCATATCCACGATACGATCAATTTAAATCAATCAAATAATTTCGTGTCATTTTGATCTCCACGTTTGTTGTGGTCAGAAAGTGAGTTTGTGTGTGTGTGTGTGTGTGTGTGTGTGTGTTTGTGTGTGTGTGTGTGTTGTTGTTTCACAGCTCGGTGTCTGCAGTCTTGGTGGTGGAGTGACCGTTGGTGGGTGGGGGGGGGTTGGTCTGGCTTTTCGGCCTCGGGGGTTTCTCCGTTGATGCTGGGTTTCTCCGGGGTTTCCTGAGGGGGGTTCAGGGGCGCCTCGGAGGCCAGAGTGTTCCCCTGGTTCTCCTGATCCGCCGGGAACGCCTCCTCCGCCTGCAGAGACACAGAAACAATGCATCATGGGAGGGAAAGACACCTCAATTTATAAAATGTCCTTTCTTTTAAAAGTTGAAAGCTTCTTTTGAGGCTTTAAACTTTTGTTTTGTTTACATAATCCAGTTGCATCTATTCCGTTAGTCTGATATTACATTTAGGCTGATAATAAAGTAAAACAGCTGCTTATGGCTCCATGTTGAATCACTGATGAATAATAAGCAGAATAAAGCAGCGAGCAGGGAGGGGTGTTTGGATAGCGCTCTCTCTCTCTGTCTGTATTCTCTCTGAACGCTGGCCAGAAACTTTCCCTGATTAAAACGTTGGCAGTGTTTGATCCCAGAGGAAGGAAAGGGTTCTGTTTTGATTTCAGATGCAAGGAAACATAAACCGGACTGAGAAAAAAAATCCATGCATACCGTTAGTGAGGGTTGAACGTGACTGCAGAAACATGTGAAACACGCACAGGTCATACTGTCAGTGTTAAAAAAATCCACAGATTCCAATATTGACTTTCAGTAGTTATCACGAACAATGTGCTGGAGCGCTAGCCAATAGCAGAGTGAGTGTTCCATAGTGATGTCACAAATGGCTCTAACAAAGCTTTAATGTTCAGAAAGCTCTTTATTGTTCTCATGCTGCCTGTGCTGCAGCACCTCTTTTCACCCTCTGTCTGAAACCAGAGCCCAGTCTGCTCTGATTGGTCAACAGCTTACAGATGTCCCACCCATTAGCCACGTACTGTGATGGAAACTTCTGAAGCAATGGAGACTCAGAGAGACACGGGGAGAGCAGTAACTTTGATGGCAAACACTGACGGTTTATTTGGAGCTTCGGCCGGAGAATTCACAAAAATATCTGTGCTCAAGATCTCTACCCCAGACCTGTATTTAGCAGGCAGGAACAGGGAGACAACACACAGAGAGCAGGCCCAGGTGCAGGCCTGAGCTCAGTGAGGGCAGACTGATCAACTGGGTCAGAGGTATGGGACTATAGGAAAATATGTCCCCAACACGTACAATGTGTTGGAGCGCTAGCCAATAGCAGAGCGAGTGTTACGTAGTGATGTCTCACCAGCCTGACTCCCTTGCCGCTGGTCCTGCGGGGGCACTTCAGGTACCCCACAGTGATGGCGACGGCGGCGAGCAGACCGCTGACCAGAATCCCCACAAACACCGAGGACCCGGATGAGGAGGGGATCTCTGTCTTTGTGACTCCCAGCTGCAGAAAAGAAGATTGTGGTCAGAAAAAATACAGTATGTGATTGAATTCAAAACCATGCATCCATTATAAGACATTATTACACGGCTTTGTTGAATACTCCATTCTGATTGGTCAATTTGAACATTCGAGAGGTCTGCACATTTTCGCTGGCAGACCGTTGCTAAGGAGAGCAGACTTTTACTACGGAGAGCAGACTGTTGCTAAGGAGAGCAGACTGTTACTAAGGAGAGCAGACTGTTACTAAGGAGAGCAGACTGTTACTAAGGAGAGAAGACTGTTGCTAAGGAGAGCAGACTGTGGCTAAGGAGAGCCGACTGTTGCTAAGGAGAGCAGACTGTTACTAAGGAGAGGAGACCGTTGCTAAGGAGAGCAGGCCAATGCTAAGGAGGATAAAGGGACTATGTACAGTCATATCAATCCGCAGAAAGAAGTCCGGTCGATTTAGCGTCAGCTGTGGACAACAAACATTAGCTTTCCTCAATCAAAAAACACTTTTTGAATATTTATTTTTATATTTGTGGAGAGCAAAAGACTCATGACGGCTAAACGGTCCCCTGTAAAGAGAAGGAAAGAGGTGACACTATTACCTGATTCTGTATAGAGTTATTAGGAACCGTGGATGAATTTAGTGAAATAAATCATGGTTACTTGAACCTATATCACAAGACTATAACACCTGCCATCATCTCACCTTTTCTTTCAAGTGTTCGCTCTTCAGGGCGTCGGCCAGCGTAGCCAGGTCAGCTGCAGGGAGGAGAATATCAGAAATATGTATCAGTACTTTATAAATCAGATCCATGTAAACCAGGGGTGTCCAAACTACGCCCATTTTAAAACGGCCCCAGCTAATAAAAAATGTATAATTAAATATGGCCCACAAATTAAACTTGTGCTTGTCATATATCGTACTTCTGAAATATATATGTAAACATATATTACACAGTATTCATGTGTTAATAAGTTCACTTTTCAAATAAATTCAGTCAATTACATTTGGAAACATTTTCAAACAAATCTTAGTTGATCAAAGAGGTTTCTGTTTTAAGCAATGAGCCGTGATGTAGGCAGTTGTGTTTATTGAAGCATTTTCAAGTATCAAGCATGCACCTACATTTAATTGATTTTGCTAACTTATAACTTCACTGATAAGACGATATACCTCTCGTGATCGACCCAGACCTTCGTATATTTTCCTGTATGTGGCCCTCACTGAAAAAAGTTTGGGCACCCCTGATGTAAACTGTGCATGTCTGTGTTGTGCATGTCTTCTCACCGTCTTCACTGGACACCAGCACTATGTTGCCCTCCTGGAAGATTTTGAGGTCACAGTGGTCTTTGCTGCACCAGCCTGCAGGGTTCTCCTCGATGATGCGCTTTGTTGTTTCCTGCAGAAAAAAAGCATTTTTAAAGTCAAAGAGAAATAAGCCAATACATGCCGTGCTGCGTCACAACAGCAGTCTGACAAATATGAGAATTAAAGCAGTGACATCATGATTCTTACAGTGCAAACTAGAAAAATATGTTTTTATTTGAGCTGTGAACATTTAACACAGTTAAAGGTAAGTTAGATTATAAGTTTTTCAAATGTCATTCAAAATGAAATTTAAGGCACATTTTAAGTGTAAAACTTTCGCTGTAATGATCTACGACGAGACGCTAGCGTGAGAGGTGTTACGTTGAATATATACATATAATAATAGATGTTCCAAATTGTTTTCGAAGTATAGCTTGTAAGTCCCAAAAAAAATGTATTCATTCCAATGTCAATAATAAATAAATAAAATATCAGAATCCGAAATCCTTTATTAGTCCCACAGCGGGGACATTTACAAATAAAATTAATTAATTCATTAAATGGTTTTAACAGTTTCAAAAGACCTGCGGGGACAATGTATGCATATTTTGAAAAAACACGACCTTCATGATTGTGGCTTTGTAAGCATTTACTGAACAGATTTCACATCCGTGCATTTCCTGCATTGTATCTCCTCTGCTTCATCACTGCAGCCAAAAATCCAATGTGTGTGTTTTCCTGAGTTTTCCCCGTTGACCATCAGTGTACGTATATGAGTAATGGAGACGAAATGCAGATGGATGGAAAACTCTCTGACCACACCTTCTTCTTCTCTCCACCTTAACCCCCAACTATGACATCACTGCGTTACACAACTTTGCAACATGGGAACTCTCAGTGCTCTGAGAGGATTACAAAAATCCTCCTTCCTCCGTCAACAAGGAGGAGAAACACTCCTTTCTGCATCTGTGGGACCGTCACATGTTCCTCCAGCAATCCTGCATGATGTAGTGTCTCTACTTTAAAGAGTCCTCTCCTGCTCATCTTCAGGTGTATATCAGTATGTAGTGTCTCTACTTTAAAGAGTCCTCTCCTGCTGATGTTCAGGTGTATATCAGTATGTAGTGTCTCTACTTTAAAGAGTCCTCTCCTGTTGATGTTCAGGTGTATATCAGTATGTAGTGTCTCTACTTTAAAGAGTCCTCTCCTGCTGATGTTCAGGTGTATATCAGTATGTAGTGTCTCTACTTTAAAGAGTCCTCTCCTGCTCATCTTCAGGTGTATATCAGTATGTAGTGTCTCTACTTTAAAGAGTCCTCTCCTGCTGATGTTCAGGTGTATATCAGTATGTAGTGTCTCTACTTTAAAGAGTCCTCTCCTGTTGATGTTCAGGTGTATATCAGTATGTAGTGTCTCTACTTTAAAGAGTCCTCTCCTGCTGATGTTCAGGTGTATATCAATATGTAGTGTCTCTACTTTAAAGAGTCCTCTCCTGCTGATGTTCAGGTGTATATCAGTATGTAGTGTCTCTACTTTAAAGAGTCCTCTCCTGCTGATGTTCAGGTGTATATCAGTATGTAGTGTCTCTACTTTAAAGAGTCCTCTCCTGCTGATGTTCAGGTGTATATCAGTATGTAGTGTCTCTACTTTAAAGAGTCCTCTCCTGCTGATGTTCAGGTGTATATCAGTATGTAGTGTCTCTACTTTAAAGAGTCCTCTCCTGCTGATGTTCAGGTGTATATCAGTATGTAGTGTCTCTACTTTAAAGAGTCCTCTCCTGCTGATGTTCAGGTGTATATCAGTATGTAGTGTCTCTACTTTAAAGAGTCCTCTCCTGCTGATGTTCAGGTGTATATCAGTATGTAGTGTCTCTACTTTAAAGAGTCCTCTCCTGCTGATGTTCAGGTGTATATCAGTATGTAGTGTCTCTACTTTAAAGAGTCCTCTCCTGCTGATGTTCAGGTGTATATCAGTATGTAGTGTCTCTACTTTAAAGAGTCTTCTCCTGCTGATGTCCAGGTGTATATCAGCATGTAGTGTCTCTACTTTAAAGAGTCCTCTCCTGCTGATGTTCAGGTGTATATCAGTATGTAGTGTGTCTACTTTAAAGAGTCCTCTCCTGTTGATGTTCAGGTGTATCAGTATGTAGTGCTCTGATTGGTTAGCTGGTCGGCTCTGTTGTGATTGGTCAACCACTTAGGGAGGTCCCGCCCTAAGATCACGTATATCATGTGTTGGAGAGGGGATTTTAGCCTTTGCAGACCATTTACATGCACTAAAACATATAACACACCAGAGGAGATGGAACACCGCAAAAAGCAGAATATAACACAAAATAAAAACGGTTAAGCCCCCACACCCTGGATGTCCCTCCTCTAAAGACCCCGGAGAGGAAACTCCTCTTTGTGTCCGGCCTGTCTGAAGATCTACGCCTGAGGAATGTCTCATACTGTATGTCTCAGCGCCATATTTCCTACTGTAGCTCTTTTCAAAACACATCCATCCTCCCCCTCTGAGTGGAGGAAGCCCCTTCCTCTGGACCCCAGTGTGTGTAGATAAAGCTTTATATATATATTCTAATTTTACAGTGACATTGTAGAGTGGGAGGTAAAGGAGATTGAACTGATACTCACACAATCGGTTGTGGACAAGTAGACCTTCACTGCGTTGCTCTCAGAAACGTCTTCTTTCCCGACACACGCCACACCCGGCTGCGGAGACACAAACAGGTTTAATACAAACGATGCCATGTTCTTCAAAAATACACAACATTATAAAGTACCAAAACCTACACTGATGACAAAACGATTATTTTTACATTTCAAGCAAACTTATCGTATTTACATGGACCTTAACATGTTCTACTGTTATGAGCAATAAACACATTACTTTTAGAATGTATTATTGATTTTACTGGCTGCTACTTCGATCCTTTTATCTGGGTACTTACTTATTTATAAAGGGATGTCTGATTCTATATTTCACAAACAAATACAGACACACAGCTTTCCTTCAAAACTAAATATTCGGGGCGTGTCACATAATAATAATAATACATTTTATTTCTATAGCGCTTTTCTTGAACCCAAATACGCTTTACCTTTGGGAGGGAGGGTAGACAAACAAAACAAAAACAAAGCTTATGGATACAGAGTTGAAGAGGTGGGTTTTGATATTGGGGGAGGGAGTTCCAGAGCTTCGGGGCTGCCACAGAGAAGGCTCTGTCCCCGAAGCTCCGGAGTTTGGCCTTGGGGATGGGAAGCAAACCGGCTGAGGTGGATCTGAGGGACCGGGGTGGTTGGTAGAGGATGAGGAGGCCAGTGAGGTAGGGGGGGGGGGGGGGGGCAGATGGTGGAGGGCTTTGAAAGTGAGGACCAGGAGTTTGTAGTGGATGCGGTGTGTAACGGGGAGCCAGTGGAGTTCTTTGAGGACCGGGGTGATGTGATGCCATGATTTGGTGTGGGTGAGGAGTCTGGCGGCTGCGTTCTGGACACGCTGGAGTCTATTGAGGGATGTAGTGCTGATGCCGTAGAGGAGTGAGTTACAGTAGTCAAGGCGGGAGGAGACATGACGCCATTGGGCCAATAAGGACTATTTCCAATGGACTAACGTTGGGAAAAAGAGTTTTAAAGATCAGAGGATAATTGTTTTTGTGGTAAATATCTTTCTAGTATGAACACTTAAAAACGGGAATTTAAAAAAAAGCAGATTTTATACCCAGAAGCTAAGCCATTTTGCTTCACAGAAATTGAAGTAAATGTATTAGACTTAAAAGTATGTAGGATAAACATATATTGAAAATGTTGTTGGTTGGAGGAATGTCTTCTTGTTGTCTTGTGAAAAATGTCAAAGAATAACTGTTTATTCCGTGCCATTAAAACGGATTTGCTCTCCTAAAGTTTATAAATGTTTCCGTGGCTTAACTAAATATCGCCGTGGTGCAGGACACACATTTTTCCTGTGATTGCAGAATAATTTTGGTTAGATGTGAAACTGTTTGAGTTGGTTTGCTTCCACGTGGAGTATTTGGACATGATGCTGCAGGGAAGTTACAATCCTTCTTATCCTCTGATTTATACAAGTTTTTAATAGACAGCGTGATTTATCCAAGTACTCTTTTTAACTAACTTTATTTAGATGGTTAATAAAATAAAATACTTCAGCAGAGAGTGTTTATTCAAATAGTAAGTTAGATTTTGAAGACTTTTAATGACACTTTCCCAAGTTAGCATTAGCAGAGAGGGCAAAAGTACACACATCCTTTACTCAAGTAGAAGTACAGATACTCGTGTTTAAAAATACTCTGGTAAAGTAGAAGTACTGACTAAACTTCTTTACTCAAGTAAAAGTAAAGAGGGCTTTGAAATGTACTTCAGTAAAAAGTACCCATAACTAGCAGCTGTTTTAAAGAGTACCTGACCTCCCTTTATATTAATAGAACAATAATGTCATTGTTAGCTAATGAATGTTTCCATGCTGAACAACGGCAACATGACAACGTTTCCATTGGTCCCTCTTCTTTAGAGAAGACCAGGAAATGATGGATACACGGATCGTGTTCAAATCAATAGGCACGCAATGACTCTAAAGAATAATGATCACGCACTAAACACACATTCAGACTAAAGGAACCAGCTGTTTGGAAAATGAGAGAAGTAGAAAGTACAGGTATTTGAGTTCAACATGTAAGAAGTAGAAAGTACAGGTATTTGGGTTCAACATGTAAGAAGTAGAAAGTACAGGTATTTGAGTTCAACATGTAAGAAGTAGAAAGAACAGGTATTTGAGTTCAACATGTAAGAAGTAGAAAGTACAGTTAGTGAAGTAGAAAGAACAGGTATTTGAGTTCAACATGTAAGAAGTAGAAAGTACAGGTATTTGTGTTCAACATGTAAGAAGTAGAAAGTACAGGTATTTGAGTTCAACATGTAAGAAGTAGAAAGTACAGGTATTTTAGTTCAACATGTAAGAAGTAGAAAGTACAGGTATTTGAGTTCAACATGAGAGAAGTAGAAAGTACAGGTATTTGAGTTCAACATGTAAGAAGTAGAAAGTACAGGTATTTGAGTTCAACATGTAAGAAGTAGAAAGTACAGGTATTTGTGTTCAACATGTAAGAAGTAGAAAGTACAGGTATTTGAGTTCAACATGTAAGAAGTAGAAAGAACAGGTATTTGAGTTCAACATGTAAGAAGTAGAAAGTACAGGTATTTGTGTTCAACATGTAAGAAGTAGAAAGTACAGGTATTTGAGTTCAACATGTAAGAAGTAGAAAGTACAGGTATTTGAGTTCAACATGTAAGAAGTAGAAAGTACAGGTATTTGAGTTCAACATGTAAGAAGTAGAAATAACAGGTATTTGTGTTCAACATGTAAGAAGTCAAAGTAAAAAATAAGTAGTGGAGTAAAGTACTGATACCAGAAAAATAACTTAGGTACAGTAACAAAGTATTTGTACTCCAATACTTCCCACCTACGAGTATTAGTAATCTCTGAGCTTTGTACAACATGTACAGAATTCAGCAATGAAGTTTGCAATGGCTCTTTATCAAGTTTCCTTCTTGCATCCTAGCAGGTACTCACCACCACCGTCCTCCCGGGTTTGGGTGCTTCTTCCGGGGTGGTGTTCTTCGTTACGTCGGGGGCAGCAGTGGGTCCTGAGGTTGCTCCACGCAGTACAACTGCATCCACAGAAATGATGGTGGCTGGGAATGTTTGATCTCCAAGAGCAGCAGTAGGAAGAGTTTTACCGTCGTCAGCGACAGTGATAGCATCCCCAGATACTGGAGAGGCGGAGGCAGCGGGGGCTTCTGCAGGTGTCGCTAAAAACACAACGCAATGGCTTTATATCTTAGAAGACAAGTACAAATACTACTGAGTATCAGGTCTAAAACCACCAGACTCAGGGACAGTTTCATCCATTTAAGACCTGAACTTTTGAAAGAACATCCATAACAGTCATTTGTTTGCATCTTGCATATATTTATCTAATATATCATATTCCATTTACTTGTATATAGACTCTTCTTGCACTATTTGTATTTTATTTGTATTTATTTGCACTCATTTATCTGTTTTATTTGTTGCACGTCCTATATACATGTTGAACTGTTGGAGGAGACTGTGACCTTAGTTTTTCATTGACATATCTACACTGTAGCTACCAGTGGCGTAACACTGTTGTGATTGGCCCCGGTGCAAATATTGTTTTGGGGGCCCCCCCTCCATCGGCCCCAAACATAAGCACGCGCTAATGCACTCACACACGCACGGACACACACAACCACTCATAAGCGCCACATGTAGGCTATTAATAACAGCCTGACCCGATTACTTGATCCACCCCTCCTACTCCTAACTTTCTCATAATATAAAATAAACCCCGTTAATGCCGCTCCCCCCACAGCCTTTCAAATGAAATCCTCCAGGATGCAGAATTCATTTAAGGGTTAAAGATGTTTACTATACGGAAACTCCTTGCCAGAATTAACACAAACTAGAAAACATATTGAGTTGATTCAATCCAAAACTACAGAATAATGTAAGAGGCAGATTCCTTCAGGGGTCAATGTCTGTAATTTCACCTGGTTAAAAAACTGACGATTTAGATTTTTGGCCCCTTCCTTACGATATCGATCAGATGACAATTTCTCAAAGTCACTTACCAGCGTTGATGACTGTGGTAACAATAGGGGCTTCTGTTGTTGCATCCTGACACTTCACCTCACCTGCAAGTAGGGAGACAGAGAGAGAGAGATAATAAGAAGAAGAAAAACGTTCATCTGATGAATATATTCTCTTCAATTCATGCAAAATGTCAAGTTCTGGTCCGCAAATTAAATATGTAAGCCCCCTTTAAACAAACATGATCATGCTGTGTGAAAGAAAACTCAATCTAGAGATTGAGACCATAAACTCTTCAGGAAAATGTTTACCGAGGTAATAAATAGAGGGAGAAATAGGCAAATGTTCTCATAGACTTCTATACAATATAAGCTCATAAGCCAAGAGAGAAGTACGCACATTTTCTCATAGACTTCTATACAATCTGAGGTAGTTCATCAAGACAGAAGTAGGCACATTTTCTTATAGATCCAAGATAATAAATCAAGAGAGAAGTAGGCTAATTTATTTATTAACGTCTATACAATCTGAGGTAGTAAATCGAGAGAGAAGTAATAACACTTTCTCAAAGACTTCTATACAATCTGGGGTAATACATCAAGAGAGAAGTAGGCTAACTTTCTTATTGACTTCTATACAATCTAAGTTCATAAACCAAGAGAGAAGTAGACTTATTTTCTTATAGACTTCTTTACAATTTCAGGTAGTAAATACAAGAGAAGTAGGACCATTTTCTCAGAGACTTCTTCACAATCCAAGATATTGATGAAGAGAGAAGTAGGCACATTTTCTTATATACTTCTATACAATCTGAGGTAATAAATCGAGAGAGAAATAGGCATCGTAAATCGAGAGAGAAGTAGACTCGTGTTCTTGTAGACCTCCTCTATAGTATCTGAGGAAGAGAGAAGTATAGACATTTTCTCATAGACTTCTATACAATATAACTTCTTTGTGCAACCTTTGCTGGAAGTTAGATAGATTGCAGCTTTGGGGGATTTCTTGATTTGCATCCCTTTTTCCGACCTGGAGACCCAGTTTTGTGGCTGTTTTAATATAAAATGTGTAAATTAAAATGACCTTTCTCAGTGAATGAGTTGGAACAGCTTGACCCGGTGAACTAAACTGCACGCCTGACCCAGAGAAGCCAGACTCTTTTTAACTCATTAGTCACATACGAGCTAATTCTCTCCGTCTGCAGCGCTGTGCAAATAAACATCTCAGGCTAAAAGTTTGTGACCTCCTGACTTCACATCCATCCTCCGGGAGAGATCCTGTTCCTGTAATAATCTGGGGATTATGTTTGGGTGGTGCTGAAAACCTTCTGACATAGGAAGGTGGAGAAAAGTAGGAAAGCTTTTCGGAGTTCAAGTGAGGGGATTCTGGGTTATTGAAGGAACGCCTTCACTGGGTTGAATAGCCTAAAGTCAAGTGGTAGATTTATATTATGAAGGGTACGTATCCATAAAATAGCAGTGTGTCATAAAACAAGCGTTCAAGGGTTGTTGTAGGGTAACTTAATAAGAATATAATTATATCACAGTCATTAGGCGCTTTCACACCGGTGTGCTTTTACCCATACTTTTCCCGTTTAGTTCCGTTAGTGCCTGGAATTTTGTGTTCACACCAAAAAGAGAACTTAGTTCAGAGAACTTTTACCCCCTTTGTAGTGCCTGCTAGAGAGGTGGGACTAGCCTGTGGAGAAAAAGTACCCATTTCTGATTGGCTGAGCGAATTGCAAACCACGCCCCGTAAAACTCGGAATGGTCTTTTGAGGCCGCCATTGTATTTGCTGGTATTTGTATTAGCATTAGCATTAGCCCAGCGTAGAAACGCAGAGAGAATAACTTATGGCAACACAAAAAAAAACATGGGAGCGGTGGAGATGAGGAGGTGTCGGCGTTCTGGCGATTTACTCGGAAGGCTTCAGTAGAAGCTGCTGGGAGTCCCAGCAGCTTCTACTGAAGCCAGTCCCCAACTCCGGGGACTTCCGGCCGGGGACTTCGGGTGGCAGTATACGCCGTGAAGTGGTTTGCGGCCTGCCAGTAAACCCAAAGCAGAAGAAGAAGAAGAAGTGACGTCAGCGGCTTCATTTGCTTCGTGTGAACGCGATCGGCTCTTAGTTCCATGGGGGAACTAAGTGCTGGGAACTAAGTACGGCAAAGTACTTGGTGTGAAAGCGGCTTTTGTGAAAGGAATCAGAATTTACGGGGTTTAAATGGCTTAATTTTCAAGTAAAAAAATCACACATTTGTGAGTAAAATCGAAGAGATTCTATGAGATTTGTGTCACAAATAGCGATAGTAAACCCCTTAAAGAAAATGTTTTGTTTAGCGAGTAACCATATCAATTTCTCACAAATGTGCCACTTTAATCTTTACTCGTCATGTCTGTTTGTTTTGTAAAAAGAGGAGAAATGTGTGGGTAATTTCGGCCGCTTGTGAAATCCTCATGAACGCCTCGATCTGAAGTTATCAGAGAAACAAGCTGAGCAAACGCTGGGAGAAACTCTGATTTTAAAAGTCAAACTAAGACTTTATTCAGTGTTTTTATAATGGGGAGGGGAGAAAGAGATGATAAAACAATTCTCCTCTGAAATGTTTTCTTTTAAAACCATCTGCATAACATTAAGTAAACGAGAAATGGCATCCATTACGCTGTCATCAAAACGTATTTCTGGTATAAATCACAGGATAACAAGGCGTTTTTATTTCCCGCAGCATCATTTCTCCTCTCCACATGGACGCAAACCAGCGCAGAGTGTAAACTGTTTAACCTGCTATCACAGGAAAAATGCGTTTCCTGCACCACTATGTTATTTAGTTAAGCTCCAAATCCAGCCATATAAAGGAGAGTTTAGGTGGTTTGTGTGCAGTCCTTTAAACGCCACTCACTCTGGATTAAGTCCTCTGTGGGAATGTTAGCACATAAAACAAAAAGTATTGGTAACTCTTTTTTTCCCAGTAGTACCAGATATGTGATGTTCTGCATGTTAGCTGTAAGTGTGTAATATACATTACTAATGTTAGACCATGCTATCAGAGCCTTCATCTAATTGCCTGTTTAAAGAGCTTTAATGTGGAAAGTGTTTAGCCTCTACAGTCGGTGTAAGTATTTTATTAAGATAGTTTATAAGAAAGCTTCTTAAAGCACTTCAGTGTCCAACCAGTAAAGTATTAAGTGTTTGCTGGATGTTGGTTTAACACCAGTTTCTTTGAAAGCAAGATTCAATTAGGAAACTAAGACTAAAACTACCAAGCGACCACCAAGAGAGGTGGTAAATAAAGACCTTTTTTTGGTAGATAAACACATTTTAGATGAGGTTTTTGTAATGGTCTGTTTACATGTGAACCACACACCGTTTCCTGCTCAGTCTGTGCAGACCACAACATAATTTGTTTGACATACTGCAGCTGCAGTCTGATCCAACTGTGCTTCATATTAAAGGAAGACCAGGTGCTTGAATAAAGAAGTCTAATCCTTTGGAAGACTGTCAGGAATTCCACATTTCTGACCATCCTGGATTATATATCACAAACACATCATATTTGACCATTATAGCTTGCACTAGAAATCATTTTACAAGGCTCTTTTGGCACTGATGCACATGAGGGATGAGATCAGTGTTGCAGAGGTGTCATAAAACACTATAGAGGACTGGGGGGAGCAGGAAGAGAGATGATGAGGTGGAGGGGGAGACAGTTTCATCCTCTTTGTTTATAATGAAGATGTTTTTAAAGCCAGATCGTACGTTTCTATTTACATGACTGACAACCTCCTTCAACTTCACACACAGACTCACAGAAACTCAGTTCATAAACACACTGACTATCGCACCACTCCAACACATTGATAAATTACATCAGTAAATACCCCAATGGTGAATTTAAAAACGGAAGTTGCAAACAAGTGTCTAAATGAGACGACTAAACGTCATCACGCCCAACATTAGCCATCTTTAGCTTAGCGGTGGTGACGTGAAGTCATGTGACCATGCTGTAGTTCCTTTATAGCCCAACATTAGCCACCTTTAGCTTAGCGGTGGTGACGTGAAGTCATGTGACCGTGCTGTAGTTCCTTTATAGCCCAACATAAGCCATCTTTAGCTTAGCGGTGGTGACGTGAAGTCATGTGACCGTGCTGTAGTTCCTTTATAGCCCAACATTAGCCATCTTTAGCTTAGCGGTGGTGACGTGAAGTCATGTGACCGTGCTGTAGTTCCTTTATAGCCCAACATAAGCCATCTTTAGCTTAGCGGTGGTGACGTGAAGTCATGTGACCGTGCTGTAATTCCTTTATAGCCCAACATTAGCCATCTTTAGCTTAGCGGTGGTGACGTGAAGTCATGTGACCGTGCTGTAGTTCCTTTATAGCCCAACATAAGCCATCTTTAGCTTAGCGGTGGTGACGTGAAGTCATGTGACCGTGCTGTAGTTCCTTTATAGCCCAACATTAGCCACCTTTAGCTTAGCGGTGGTGACGTGAAGTCATGTGACCGTGCTGTAGTTCCTTTATAGTCGAACATTAGCCACCTTTAGCTTAGCGGTGGTGACGTGAAGTCATGTGACCGTGCTGTAGTTCCTTTAAAGCCCAACATAGCTTTTAAAAATCATAAAGTCATTAATATTATCCTGCTGAACAAAACGTGTAAGTATCATAGCTACTCCATTCAGATTTAGGGAGGTGCAGAGGGAGGGTATCAGCCCCTCTCTCCCCTAATTAAAGGGGTGCAGTTTGAGCAGCTGCAGAATGACATCATGTTCACGGGGGAAAAACCTCGGCTCTAAATCCTCCATCTGACCTCCACCCAGACTACAGAGACTCTCCCTGGCTGTCATAACGAGTCCCACCCTCCTTCTCCAGCTCCTCTGCTTCCAGATGTCCACAGCAGACCCTCACATCTCCCCTCACCCCTTCCTCCTCACTCCCCACAAGGAGAAATGTCTCCTCAGCTTAACGCAGGAATTCATAATTCTATCTGGGACGAAGAAATGCAAAGGGAGAAATGAGGCCAATAATTTTAATATAGATGAATCTGTCAGGGCATTTTTGTCTATAACATTTTCTTACTTTTCATAAACCCAGAGGAAAAGGAAAAAGGCAG